CTAAGAACTTTTCGCAACACTTGGGGCTATCATTATCGTCATGGGATCTGGGAATGATTGGAATGCTGATCATGGTGTAAATAAATACGCTAATTGCGTTGTAGACAATTAAGGTTATACCAAACTAATTTGACGATTTCTTTTTGCCGTTCTCAAAATGTTAGTTAGAAGCTAACAACTTTATAATAGCCATGGTAAAATAATTACTCAGTACAAAATATTTAGTGGTAAAAGATAAACCATTACTAAAGCATGCCTTAAACATTATTCATGTAGAATACCTCTACCTGCGTTCTTGATAACAATCCCAAGTTTGGGTCATACGAAAAAAAATGATACACGAATGGATAACAGAAGTGCCGTTAGCTTGTCTGGCTTGACAATAGTGTAAACAGTACACGGCTTAGCGGACTTAGAACGATATGATATTGTTAGAGAAAAACAAAAATCGCGGGTGCAGCCGGATGGAGAGTGCTCCAAACAGGTTTCTCGTGCGTCGAGACTCGAGCCGGTGAGCCGATGACGTGTGGTAGTCTCGTCCGCTAGAACGACAGCTGTCATCGCGCTTTACTTTATGATTATTTGCCATTAATATAGTTGTAGATCAGTGTCCCTGATTTAAAACTAGAAAAACTGCCAAATAAGCGGGATTACCTTAATGATATTTAAAAATGGAACATTGAAAGTAGTACCACTAGAAATATCAGCAAAATGCTTATTTGTCTTAATATTTCATGTATACCTAGGCAAACGACATTTTGTAAAATTACGTAATGTTCTAATAAACACGCGCCTAACTTAATTTGTTTAGCAAGTTCCAAAGTATTTGTTAAGGTTTCGTGGGCAAATTGACACGTTAGCTAAAATCAATACTCTAGCTGGGATAAAAGACGCTGGCAAGTCCATCTAATTATCAAACCTTTGTTATATTGATTGATACACACGTACACACATACATATAAATGACGGCATGATACGTGTAAAGATTAGATAACATTACTGTGCCAATCACTATAGGCTGTATATGTTACTTACCTATATGTTTTGAAAACATCATTAGTATCACAATGCAATATACAAATAATCGTGCAATTATATACATTGCAGATCATTACTTAGTCTACGTCACAGAATTGTAACCGCCACAAAGAAGAAATGCCACGAGACGTTTAATTATACGTCTACGCTTATACGATTGAAATCAGTATGCCTATGCTAAACAGGAAATATTTAAAACAATTTATGACACTAAAATTGACAGCGCAAACGTTGTCTTTATTAGTTTTACGTAAAAATCTTCAACACTGAATATTAACTACTATACACAAATGGTTTAATCGTTTAGGTAATGTTTTACAACGTGTTATGTAGATATAATAGGAATAACATAAAAAGTTAACTAAACCTTGATAACATTCTCTTTGATTTGCAAGCAGTTAAAAATGTTGTGAACAGTCAGACATGGCTGTATAAGTTAAAGAGTTACGTTGTTTACCAATAAGATAAAAAAACATGCGTCTAAGATTAAATAGATATTACCATAAAATACTCAAAGGAGGAAAATGTGACTTTACGTAACCACCCTTAGAAGCGGAGTACATGGCATCAATGTCAGCTAATTAGTTCTGTTAGTTTAATGATGTTTAATTATTGAAACCGAGAAAAATAGCTAGTATGAGAGGAACATCAAGCTGAACCGTCTGTATAAATTCTGACTCGCTCGGGTATTTCGAACTGGGGATTTTTCGAATTTGCAGTTTGCATTTTCGATAATTTGCTACGACCTTGTATCACTTTAAAATCGTCAGACCTTTCAATGGTAGCATAAAATATCAGATGCGACCGAATATTTTTTTCGATTTTGCTCCCCTTCAATTTTTTAAGGAACTTTTTCCACCGCTGAAAGTGGAAACATTATAGACTTTTATTCCCCATGACGCTCGAGTAAATCCCCATTAATAATAGGTTCTATTTCATGTTTCTACTTAACGTTAATTTTATGTATATTTTTGATATTGTTGAATCCTATGAGTCAGTAAATAATTTTATTTTAGAAAATCCATTTCTGTAATAAATGATTAATATTATGGTTAAAAATCTTATGAACCTGGGCCGATACAGATTTCGTTTGTCATTGGGTTCGCATAGGAAAATGTTTGCCCAACCCTGCCCTAGGCTGTAAATGTATCTACCAATCTCTTTTATAAGTAATGGACCTTCTAATAAAATGTATATTTTGTCTAAATAGTGAATCATAATTACTAAATCAATTTGACAAACATTGAAAATAATTATTTAGTACGAGTACACTGATCTTCCGGTTTTATATTTTGGCGGCAATATTTTATTAGGTTAACTTTTTTTCACAAATCTATGAGTTACTAACGGATAAACAGTGAGTATTTATTGTCAGTAACTATTATCTTAAAATGTGTAGATAAGGTTTTTGTTTAGCAACGAACACAATGTACCGGAATCCATAATCTGGGTTGAACGATGTACGTAGGCAGCTTAGTTTTACTAATTTAATCTTATAATAGTACAAAGCACCTCATTAGTATTCATAAAGCGATTAGCGTTTGGCATTATTCATGTAAGTAAAGTGTCACTTTGTAATTCGTGTCTACGCCAAAGAAGGAAGATTTTTAATTTGATTTCATTAAAATAAATACCATATCTAGAGTTGCGCTGTAGATTATATAATACCTACGCACTCGAGTCAGTCTTCTTGCGTTGCAATCAGACTATACATAACATATGTATTTTATGCACAACTTAGGTATCAGTGGCACAAGGTTGTGTATACTCTGTGTCCTCATCCAAACCGAAGGCCAAGCTGCGATGTATAATGACATTTGTCTTCATGAGGGACATTTATTCTCAACAAAGGATTGATATCAGGTTTTAAAAAGTGCTAGAATTTCCATCTGTAATATATAACTTCTTATCGTCTCTCTACAACCACAATCAGCAGTAGATTTAGAAAATGGCATTAGCCTGACCTACTGTAATATCAAAATAAAATAAAAAATCATAGGTAGAAACTCATCCCTTTTTTTTAGGGTTCCGTACCCAAAGGGTAAAACGGGACCCTATTACTAAGACTCCACTGTCCGTCCGTCTGTCTGTCTGTCTGTCCGTCTGTCACCAGGCTGTATCTCATGAACCGTGATAGTCAGACAGTTGAAAATTTCACAGATGATGTATTTCTGTTGCCGCTATAACAACAAATACTGAAAACTATATATACTTATCTAAAATAAATATTTAAGGAGGGCTCCCATACAACAAACGTGCCGTTTTTATAGATATTTTTTTATTAATCTCTAGCTGTACCCTTCTACGCTTCGCTGTGGCAAATGGTGGTTGCATTGATGATGAAATGAGGAATAAAACTGACGTAAAAAATAGATAAATATCATCATCATCATCATCAACAGCCTTTAATAGTCCACTGCTGGACATAGGCCTCTCCTTAGAAAGGAGGTTTAAATAAATAACTAAAATAAATAAAAATATAATATATCGTGTCTAAATTTGATCTCAATCGGTGCAGCACTTTGAATTTTTGAAGCGTACACAAACTAAGAGGGCGGGTCAATAAGTCCGTGACTTTTGGAATAAAACATGATTTATTTGTCAACGTAGTCTCCCTTGAGCTCTATACACTTTGTCCAACGCTTCTCCAATTTTTTTATCCCTTCCAAAAAATATGATTTGTCGAGGTCCTCAAAATAGGCCTTTGTTTGCGAGATGACTTCATCATTGGAGTCAAATCTTTTTCCACCAAGCCATTTGTTCAGGTTTGGGAACAAGAAGTAGTCACCCGGAGCCAAATCTGGAGAATAGGGCGGATGAGGGAGCAATTCATAGCCCAATTCATGGATTTTTGCCATGGCAACTGCACATGTGTGCACCCTTGCATTGTCTTGGTGGAAAAGAACTTTTTTCTTGGCCAAATGAGGTCGGTTTTTTTTCAAATCGTCATTGAATCGGTCCAATAAGTTGGCATAATATTCCTCATTGATTGTCCTTCCCTTTTGAAGGTAGTCAATGTGGATTATCCCGCGTGCATCCCAAAAGACAGTCGCCATAACTTTATTGGCTGACAAACTCACCTTGGCCTTCTTTGGCGCCGATTCACCCTTAGAAACCCACTGTTTTGACTGTTGTTTGGTCTCTGGTAAACCTCCTTTCTAAGGAGAGGCTTATGTCCAGCAGTGGACTATTAAAGGCTGTTGATGATGATGATTGGTCTCTGGTGTGTTGTGATGGATCCATGTTTCGTCCACGGTTACAAAACGGCGCAAAAACTCCTCCATATTGCGATTAAACAACGCCAAACCTTCCTGTGAAGGTGTTACACGATTGCGTTTGTGGTCGACTGTGAGCAATCGCGGCACCCATCTTGCGGAAAGCTTTCTCATGCTCAAGTGATCATTCAAAATTGAAACCACTGAGCCATGCGAGATCCCTACGGCTTCCACAATCTCTTGCACTTTCAATCTTCGGTCGGCCAACACCATATCGTAAATTTTTTCGATTGTTTCGGGTGAAGAGACCTCAACTGGGCGTCCAGGACGTTCGGCATCTTCAGTGCTTGTACGGCCACAACGAAATTCAGTAAACCACTTTTTTTACCATTGAAATCGATGGTGCAGAGTCCCCATAGTATTTATCAAGCTTAGCCTTGGTCTCGGTAATGGTTTTTTTTCGCAAAAAATTATGCTTAATAAGCACACGAAATTCACTTTTTTCCATTTTTTCCTCAAATTACTGGGTAGTCTGATAAAGATAGCTGTCAAACACAAACTTACTGACGCAGCAAATTCAAATTTTGACAGGAGTCAACTGACAGATGCCTGTTGACAGGAGTAGTGTTGCTGTTTCAGTAAAGAGGTCAGAAATTCAAAAAGTCACGGACTTATTGACCCGCCTTCGTAACTTAACATTTATAACTTATATTCATAGATTGTTGAACATAACTCTATTTCCATCAGGTGTCAGCAGCGCAGCATATGCAAGTGAACAGTGGGGCGAGCGGTGGCCATGTCTCAGTGGCTGCTCAGCAGGGCATGTACGCCAGCTTCCAGCATCAGGGAACGCCCTCGCCACAACATCATCAAGGTAATAAACTTTTATATTTATGTGTTTAAATACATTCAATTCGTTACTCTAAAGGCCATTTTGGCCAGAGATAAGGTCTAAATTCAGTCTAAATTCCTCTTATCCATTAAAACATTTTTACAAGTGCATGTGATTAGTTTACTCCGTCTAGCTTCTATTTGCCAGTCCGAAAACTAATGTAATCTAGATGGTATAATTTATTCAAATTTTTTTAGAAAAAAATATGTAATATAAAAAGAGAATTTATAAAAATATATTTTCGATTGTGAAATTATGACTGTATTGGATTTTAATATTTTTTGTTAAAATGTTTTATTTATTTACGTGTGGTGACGGATTAAGAATACAGAGTGTCACCACCCCTATTCATCCCAAGGGTGTCGTAAGAGGCGACTAAGGGAATAAACTACGCAGAACAACAACACTGCAAAAAGAAGGAAAACTTGAAACAAACCCTATACCAACCCGTCTGGCCAGCGTGGTATAGTAGGCCAAAACCTCCTTTCTGGGGAGAGGCCTATATCCAGCAGTGGACTATTAAAGGCTGTTGATGATTGATGAATAAAAAAACAGACTATTTCTCTCGAAATTATTGGTGTCGTCTTTCTCAAGGAATTAAACCAAAAAATGGAATGTTAAGTATTTGATTTATTGACTTTATTTGGAGTTTTGACTTATAATTAACTACCAGATAAAAAAACTCATAAGTTACAAGTTATGACATTTACTAACACTTTCTCTCTCAACGACCTATGCCACGGCAGCATGCCAATAATAAATTTATTCAGTGTTTACCTGCAACTAAGTTATATAATATTTGAAGTCGTTAATATGCGTGTTAATTACTTCAATCATCTGTCTATACAAGAGAATACTTTATCGAATAAAAGATGTAGAACTTTTATAAACGAAAAACAAAGAAACCTCGCGTGCAGTTTATTTTTCATAACACACAAGCACTCGGTGGGCACAATGTACCTACATATGACGTCATCACATAGTTGCGTTAGTAACAACAATCAAACTATTAACATCTTTATGCTATTGCGTTAAGTGATAGCATGAGTGTAAACATATAGTGGTGTATGTTACATAGTGTGTGGGGATTCGAGAGTGTCCGAGGGGCGGAGGGTCGCGCCGAGGTTGATGATCTGCGAGAATGCGCCAAGTCGCACACCTCCCATCCCGATGACATTAGATTGACGTGTTTGTTAGCCATGCTAAATATGCACTTCGCAACTGGTTGCGATTTACTTTAAATATACTTACACGATTTGAATACCTATTGTATTAAAATAGACATTGCATATTCATGTACGGGTTTTGGCATCATATGAGAATGCCTGAAGTTTTCTGTAGCTTAAGTCGTAAACTATTTTTTTTAAAGGCAACTCTTACGTTATGTGTTTCCTTTGTAGCGGGAAGAAGATTATTTAAATTTGAGTTTTGAGAATGAAAGTGTCAGTAAGATTCAAGAACACAACAAGAATATCCAAAAATTACTAATTTTTTTTTGACAGTGTCATGTAAATCGTGGGTATACGAGTATGGTAATATTATATTTTTTGATTAAAATTAACACGTTATTATAGCTTGTTTTATTTTTCATTTAATAACAAATTACCTGGGATTTATACGAATACTTCCTCACTCTACAGATATGAATATTAAACAAGTTGACCAACATAATTAGACAAGTCAAGTTTGACTGGTTTTATAATGCGACAATACTTATTGTCATTGACATAAAATCATTGAAGAAAAAACATGTTGAAAAAACACCCCGAAAACAGTCTTTAATGTAAAGTACAGGCGACTTGTACATCCGTATGTAAAAAGCCAATAAGGCGACTTGTACATCCGTACATGTCGTCTTATTAGCTTTTTCAGCGTAGTTTTAAAGAACCTATTTCCTAGTAAAGTATTCAGGATAAAACGATATTACAATTTTAAGTATCTTTTGAACATTAGGTAATCTACGGTAAAGCCTACTTTAATTAGATTACAACCAGATTTTAAAACTAGTGTAAGATCCACCCTGCGCAACATCAACGCAATGTTGTTATTGATTTCTGTCAATATTCTGCACAAAGAGATTTTGCTCATATTTGGTCAAAAAGGGTTAAAAAGTATCTGAAAATGAAACGTTGTGGTAGAATTTAGGGACATTTATTCCTAGTAAATTAAATATAATTAAATCGTCAACATTACGTCAGGGTCTGTTGAGTGTTTTGACATATGCTCAGACATCATCGGTTGTATTTATTGCAGGGGGCGGATGCGATACATACTCGGTGTCTCAATCGCAGAGCATTAACTTCTCACAGGCGATGCGAGCGAGGCCCGCGGGCGCAGCTCAGCAGCCCCAAGCCCAAGGACAAGGTGCCCCACCACCACTCGGTAAGTTTAAAAGAATCCATCAATCTACATTAAAGAAACTGCACCCCTTAGGGGAGACCTTTATCAAGTTTCGACCTTTGAGTACCGCCTTATGAACATACGTATCCAATACCCTATATTTTAACTATTTATTATTTATTTATTGGAATACCAACAGCGGTAACAGTAGTAGTAGTAGTGTCTAGCCAATTACATTATTATCGCTACACTTAAAAACGTTCAACAACACTGCTTCTTCAAAACCGTTTTAACTTGTATACCATTTTCCCGAACCACGGCGTGTATCTCTCACATTCTTTCCCTTAGATCAGATACGTAATCAGTAAAGGTACTCACTATTAATATCAAATTGCAGCAACGTAAACAGCATTTCAAATCCTAAATCAATTAAATCAAAATTAAATGAAAATGAAAAATCACCAAAATTGCAATTAATATCAAAATCATCGCATACATAAAAATAAGTAACATTATGTTTGTGAAAGTGAGTTTTACGTTTCAGAGACTCAATCGGTTAGGATAAAATTGATCGAGTTGGTTTGAAAGGAACCGAGCAAACCGATACATACGCAATCATCCCCAGGATTATTTGCTGACTATGTTTCATACTGATAAGCTAAATAACCTTGGACATTAACAGCAGCGAAACAATGTGCCAGTATGTGCAATAACCTTATGTATATTATATGCTATAACTTTATCCATACAAATAAATAAAATTGAAGTGTCTGTTTTTAATGTCAAAATATTAGGATTTTTTCATGTTCAAACTGTTATTTGCACGATATTTTATTTGTTTTGTCTGTCGGTTTGTTCCTGGTAATCTTCTAAACGGCTGAACCGATTTTGATAATATTTTACTACCAGGTAGCTGTCTATATAAGGAGTAACTTGGGGGCTATTTTTTCTCAGAAAAACCCTATAAAATTCTGCCCGGTTGGAGAATCGAACCCACTAAGGCAGCGCTTTTCAAATTTCAAACGAAGTCGCGGGTACCAGCTAGTATATTATATTAGTTATAAAACTATCTATACTAACATTATCAAGGCATTATTAATTATTAAGGTGTGTCTGTCTATCTGTCTGCTTCACACGCTTAAACCGCATTACCGATTTTGGTGAAATTTGGTATAGAGACAGTTTGAATCCCGGAAAAGGACATAGGATAGTATTTATCCCAGAAATCATCCTTTAAGGGGGTAAAAGGGGGTAGAAGTTTTAATGGTGAATCAATAACCGCTGAATACCATGATTCATCAAATGAAATATGGTATAGAGATAGTTTGATTCATGAGAAAGGACTTAGGCTTCTTATTACTGCGATAACCGACATACACTCAAGCTTACGGCTTCGGCTCAGCCGCGGGCAAAAATTAGTCTTCTTTAATATTACACGTAATAAATTAAATTAATACTTTTTTTTTGTGTAACGGACGGCCGTACGTATTATTGTGCTGAGAAACCAGGTATTATATTTCTGATAACCTACAATAACAAATCATTAATAAAACTACAGGTGTCGCAGCTGCGGGTATATCACGCGAGCAGCAAGCGAAAATGCTGCAGCAACAGCAGCAGCAGATGTTACGAGCGCAACAGCAGCAAATGCGACCTCCGCCTCCGGAATATAAGGCACGATTCGTGAACGCGGGCGGTGTTGGCGGAGTTCCTGCGTTGAGTGCTCGACGTCCCCCCGCTGCAGCTCCTAGACCATTTCATCATGCCAGACAATATGCGCCTGAGTGGCGACATGTTTTCATGCAACAACAGCCCACTTCAAGGCAGCAGTTTCCACATCACCATCAAGGTCTGTGACATTTCTTCGAATTGTACAAATCTTAATAATTATACAATTAAATACTCTTACAGCCAATGAATCTTACTAAACTTGAAAGTAAGATGTTAGTATTAAAATGCACCTACTAAAGTAAATAAATGCCTTTTATAGACCTCGTTTCAATGGATGAACTATTCAGGAATGGTTCACCGCTTACGTTCACTAAAGTAAAGAATATTTCTAAGTTTTGATTAATCATTATTAAACAGATGATTTGCCTAATTTACTCAAATATAGACTAATATACATAAGTCTAAAATAGAACTAACTATTGTAGAAACAAATTGCTTTCTTTGTATTTTTTAAGTTAAGTCGTTTCTATATACATGTACATTTACGACTCTATCATATTAGTAACTGCACATACGATGATGTACCCTAAAATAATTGTTTGTTTAGTATTCATCATCCGATCTTATTAATACTTTTCCTATAAGCTTTATATAGCTATGAATTCATATAGTTTCTAGCGATATGTCCCCTACTCCCGAGAAAACAAAATATGCCGATGAAAATATACTACGAACAGTATATATGATATCGTTAAATATACGAGTAGGCACCACAGTTCATTGCGTTCTTTTAAATAATAAAAATTAAACAAGATATATTTATGTTTGCCAGATTGTTTTTATTGGCGCTCAGATTATATGTATATAATGGATTCTAGGTGCGTTTACTATCTACATCTTATGCGTATCGATAACTTAAAAAAAATGTATAAAGTAGGTACAGGTTCCCACGATACAGCGGCTGACATAGCTAGCTGCTTATATGTTTGAATGACTAAAAATGTATACAGAATAAGATTATAGCATAAAGGCATTTTTGTACAGATTTCTACTTAATGTCATGCGTTAGCAACTATTGTATAATCCTTATATCATAACTTTATCAGGTGCTGTGCAGATAAAACATACATATATTATATATATTGGAATTACAAGCCTATTTAACTACTAAAATTGATATATTCTTTGCTTGTTCTCGTCATTCTAAATTGAACCCTATGTCTGTGTTCATAGAATTGTTTTTTAAGATGCGATTTGTTGATTTTGTTACGATTCTTGTAGTAGATATCAGCTTTTACTGTTGTACAAATGTATGACGACACTTGATGACGAAATGAGAATTTAGAGTACTACCGGAGATCCAGTTTTAAACTAGTTGTAACTAGATCAGTCTAAATTCAGCATTGACTACACAATTCACTGAAACTCTTCGTGACTTGATTTCTTAATCTTTGAGTACCTACGTATTATTGTGCCAAGCTTATTTATTGCTAACGATAAAAATGATGTTGCTTAGTAAGTGGCGTAAGTAGGCGCCATTTTCAATAGTTACGACTTAGATACAGCGAGCGATGGTAGCATAGATACCTACTATAATGAGTAGTCTCTTCCAAACTAGAAGAAAATTGTAGTAGCAGTAGAAATAAATTATGGTGACAGACTAAAATAATATATGAATGGAATAATATTGACAACGTGAGATTTTTATTACAGTTAATAGTTCTATACACACACACGGTACACAAAAATATTTTTTTAGTTAAAATTTTAGCGACATTTTTCTGAATCATACCTATTACTTATTATTGTTAAAAAAAAAAACATTTAGTTAAAAGAAGTTTTAACGTCCCAGAAAGATAGTACAGATTAACTCAACTTAAAATTTGAAAGTTTAGACGGAAGTACGTGCCCCTACTGTATTTATTACTCATAAGTAAACATTTATTATCCCGTTACAGGTTTCAATATGGGCACTATGGGTGGCATGACGCAACAGCAACAGCAACAAATGCAAATACAACAAGCTCGTCTACAACAACAGCAACTTATGCAGCACCAACAACAGCGGTACTTATTATGTCTAGTCTAGTACATTAACAATTACATAATGTTACGATATGAACCGTTACTAACTGTTATTGTTACATTTCTAGGACATCTAATCAACAACAGTCGCCGATGTCTCACTTGATCATGCAACAGAATCAAATGATGAGTGTGCAAGGACAGGTAAGTTTTTTATTACCAACATGTTGTATATTTAAATTTATATCGTGGTTGTGGGGATCACATAAAAGTGAGCGATTACCGGTTGTGTTATTTAGATTAGCCAAATATGAGTGTACTGTAACCGTATCTAAAAGTTTAACGTGGGTATGAGGAAAAAGTATAATCTTTACGTACCTATTTAAAGGGGAAAGAAAGCCAGAATGTACTAAAAACAAATTAAAAATAATATCAGTTATCTGATCTTGTCAGTCACATTGCTCTTAGACTTATTAGTTTCTGATTTTATAGTTATACATGTTTTTTTCAGATACCAAATATCCACATGAGCCAGTCCCAAAGTATGTCGATGCAGCAGGCCGGCATGGGCGGTATGGGTGGACATCAAGGGAGTCCAATGCAAAATGGACCCATGCAAGGTCAGGGACCAATGCATACGCAAAACAACCCTATGCAACAAAATACTATGATGTCTAACGGACCCATGCAGAATCAAAACGGCAGCAATCAGCATACGTTCCCGTCACTCCATAATACGTCTTCCTTCGTGGGACAAACCACAGACTTTAATCTCGACTTCCTTGATAACATGCCTTCCACGGACGCAAGTAATCTCACCGCACAGGAGCTACTTAACTCCTTAGACAACTCGTTTTTGAATGACATCCTTTAAATATAAAAACACATATTATACAAGTTAATTGTATGTAAGTCGTATAATTCCCTGTTACCAAGGTCATTTTACTCATAGTAGATTATTCCTACATAGATTTAGGCGGTCCCACCGCTAAGATAAAATGCTAAGAATCGAACTTGAGAAGTTGTGGTTTTGAAAACCACAGTTTATTATCGACACCATCTCATAAAGTTATTAAAACAAACGGGTTGACTCTTTGTCTCATCTACAATAGAGAACCATTCGCATGGCTAACGCCAACGGGCAGCATGTGACAGCCTTTTGCTGTAATCTTCAATTTATCAACGTCTAAAAACTGTTTTATTTGAAAATGTGTTTCAATTGTAAATTGTTACACAAATATTTAGTTTTATAATGTGCGAAATGTTAGATTCTTAACTGTTCTAATTTTATTTGCATGTGTTTGTACCACTTAAGTAATATTCTTAAAGAATAATGATGATGCAGAGATATTAGGAATATTGGATGTATAGCTTATCTGAGCAGCTATATACCGATGGTTTCTGGAAATTACACGACTCTACTCGAATTTGTATTTGTGTGTTTTAAAGTAATATAATAAATTAATATTCATTTATCAACATAGTTCAAAGTCAATTAGACTTGATAATTTGGGTAATCTGGCTACATTAAGTGTTTATACCTTCGTATATATAAAAATATATGACCAATAAGAAACAAATTATGACCAAAGTTATAAACAGGAATTTAACTAGGTCGATGTGGAGTACGGCCCCTGTACTAAGTATTTTTTATTAAATGGAACCAAGCCAGTATATCACGAGAAACCCGTCAAACGCCAAAAAATATCTTTTATACAAAAACACCTATGTGTAAATATCTGTCAAAACAATAAATATAGCGAAAACATAATTCATAATGTAGCCTAAGGAAGTACTTCGACACTATGAAACATTGTTTGGCTGCACTTGCAGTGTGAGTAGTGTTCTATTTTGGTTCATGTGTAGATACTTCTCACATGTAATAATTTTCTATGAGTGGTCTGCTTGTGTTTTTCTCACGAAGTTGATTCACGAAAGTTATTGTTGTTTTATTTTTAGAAAAGGTCTATGTTTTGAGTCTCTATAGTTAGTCGAGACTAACTTTAAAATCAAAAAGGCTATTTATTAATTACGTAAAGACCAGTTTGTTAATTTTGATCCTTTCTCTTCCTACTCTCTTACTTCTCTTTTACAGACTCTACGCCTACCGTGTCTTACGTAATATTTTATCTAGGTTTTCCAACTATTTAAATTGCATTGAAAAAACGGTGAATAGTACACTGTTTTGAACAAAAAAAATAGCTTAATGTAGCAAAATAGAGGTATTTGTGAAAAAATAGATTTCATACTTATTACACTCATTCGTTAGAAAGATGCTCATTTTGACTTCTTACGTAAGAATATCTTTGAACCCCTTTCTCTCTGAGTTAAGGTCTCTGGGCTCTTGCCTTACGTAATTAATAAATCATGCCTTACGTAATTGATGAATCACCCCATATTTAGAATGAAAACATTTTATCATTTTTGAGAATCTATATAACTATTTACCCTTCAATCATACACAATAAATGATACAGAAATACGGAGAGTAAGTCGTTTGCTCTGTCCATTTAATAAAAAAAACTAGTGTTCAATGTATGTGCACTGTTGACAGTTTGAAGCCACTTGATATTTTGGACCACATTGTTTTGTAGTAATATTTATTATAAAAATATCAATTTCGTAGTGTTTATAGGTTTACTATTGTTAATAATTCCTATGTAAATATTTTAATCTTAAAAATGTTTGTAATATTAAATGTAAGCTAATTACATATTCTACTGATACCTATAGTCTCCCACAAAGCAGACATTCTATTTTCTTCTTATGATTAATTTAGCTGCAGAGTAGGCTAATGTATATTTATTGCAGATTTTATCCTAGTTTATAAGAAGAAAAGCACAAAAGACAATATGTTATTTACTTTTAATAAATTTATTTATATAGCTACAAAATTCCAAGGGGCAATACATAACCATAATTGCTTATATGACATAGTTTGGACTGCCAAGAGTTGAAAATGTGCTATGGTAACTTATGTTGGCTCTACGTCACTTGTTTATACCTTTAAAATAACAATAGAAAATGTATAGGGAATAAAAATTTGTTAAAAAAAGTTTTACAATATAAATGAAGGCATTAAAACTAAGGTTTGTTATTATTTATTGTCATTGTTAATTTTACACTACAGTATCTTTAGCTTAAATTGTGTATTTGTACCATATACTAGCAAATATCTACATGTTTATTGTTATTTTGAATTTGATTTTGAGCAACATTTAATCTCAAAAACAACCTTGAACACCTCGACTCTTGGTGCTAGTCATTAATATAATTTCTATCTTGTCAACTAAACTCAGATTAATTTATGATTTTATTTATACAATCTGCCCCTCCCTTTTAAAGATACAAATGATATTGCCATTACAATATTTACTTACTTATTTTAAATCAAAAATATAATTATCTATTGATTTGTAAACTTAGAATCCCCCATTATACAATAGTGCAAAATGTAAATGTTTATGAACTAAGATTTATAATAAGATCATTCCTGTACCTAAGATGATTGTAGATTATACTGTGATGTCGGTCTCAATGGTCAATAGATAATTAATATTATCAATTATTATAGATTATTGTTATTGTTAAGGATCTCATGGTATCATTTAGTTTGGGGTTTTAAGAGATTCTGGAATCGTACACTGTTGGTTTCAATATTATTTGATTTTTAAAAGAATGTGTAGAATCTTATTGTCATGTGCATTTTCTTTTTATTCTCATAAGATTATGAGAATGCATACTCAATCATTTCGTTATTTTATATTTGTATATAGTAAAACTGTTGTTAAACAACTTTAAGATTTTTGATCAATGTATACTCAAAATGGGTATGAAATAAAATAAATCATTACCAAATGAAGGAATCATGTCGCAAACCGATAAGGTATAGCTCTCTCTGATATAGATTACATAGTAAAACCAACTAATGTGAATGATAGCTACATTCCAGAGCCATTGTTAATAATGTTTTAACTTTAGGACCAATTTTTGAACTTTCTTTTGAAAATAATATTGCATATTGAGTGACGGCGTTTTATTCATTTCTAACTTAATATTACACTTACTAACACAAAAAATATTCGTTATAAACGGAGCAAAAGCTTTAGAGAACAAATTAAAATTGAAAGCATATCTGGATACTTTGAGTATATTATGGCACATATTACATGCTTTAATTGAAAGCATTAGGCAGTGTAAATACTTGTATTTAAACATTGTAATTTTTTTTCAATTTACTGAAAATAAGTTATGCGACAATTAATCCCATCTGAAGCTTCGAAAAAAACATTATCTTAAGTCATAGTCATATAGTTAATACAAAAGCTTGCTAGTCTTCTGATCTACAATATTCAATCGTTAGTGTCAATGAATTACTTTGTGACGACTACTAATCTAGTTGACAATTTTTTTTTATAATCGATAACACGGATAGTGAAGCTTTAATGTCATTACAGACATACTTAATGGCTGATTTAACTAAAGTTTGCGATTACTCATCGTTTTATACAGTGAATGTATCTCTATGTAAAAACGGATACAAGAAGCTAAGAGAGCCAAATGAATGTTTTCGAAACAACAGAAGCGACTTATGATAAGAATATAATTATATTCTAAGCGTTGCGAATAGTTACCACATAATAGAATCAGCTTGATGTTTATACAGATAGTCAGAAAATCTCTCCAGTTTCATCTCTAAAGCATTTATCTCCGCTGCTAATTCTCATACGACCTCGTTTGGTTTATTCTGAAAAATGCGAGGGTTGCGAATCCTCGGGCTGTAGAAACTATTCGGCTGGATGTATTTCGCAGTTATCGGTTCATCATTCATTGCAGCCAGTTTACTTTCGTATATGTTTTCATTTTTATTATTTTCCAAAGTCTTCATGGTAATGCTGTGGAATATTTGACGCCGTTTCCTAAGCCGGATGCATGAAAAGATAGTGCTTAACAGTACTCCGAGTTTGAATAAAGCTACGACAAACAAGCTCAACATGAGAACCAAGTATTGTTGTTGATACCAGTCCTCTAATGGCCCGAGGCAACCCTGAAATTCAAAGAAAAAGCAAAAGTGAACTAATGATATAATTTTTTTTAAGGAGATATATACCTCCAGCTACAAAAGGCGACTAGCATGACTAGATCCTGGAATTGAGTTGCTAACTCTCGAAAATGTTTACGGGTTTGGTTTGTGTGGGCGTGTAATAAGCATCAGAGCCGTATGATTGTTTGCCAACTTAGTTTTTTTTTTATTTAAAAAAAACAGGCATGGATATTATTAGTAACTATGTATGTAAGATCTATACCTATTTGATACTTACTGGATAACTTTCAAACAAATATTGAGGTACCGAGGTTAACCGTGTGGTGACGGATTAAGAATACGGAGTGTCATCACCCCTATTCATCCCATGGGTGTCGTAAGAGCCGTCTAAGGGAGCAAACTACGCAGGAAAACAGCACTGCAAAGAGAAGGTAAACTTGACACAAACCCTTTCCCAACCCGTCTGGCCAACATGATATAGTAGGCCAAAGCCATCTTTCTAAGGAGAGGCCTATGTCCAGCAGTGGACAATTAAAGGCTGTTGATAATGATGAGAGGTACTACAGAAATGGGCAATAAAGTATTTTGGATAAATTTGTTACACAAAGTTCGATTAGGTACCTACTTACATGCACATATCTAAACGAAGGATTAGGTTGTACTTCTTGGCATCGTGAAGCGTTGACCGGCGCTGGGTTAAGATATGACACGGTGTCTTCATATTGGACGCAGCAGCTGAGGGGGACGGCCATACCTCGCGGGCCGAGCCGGCGCAGCTGCCAGGTAGACATGTCGTAGTTACGTGCGTCTGTCATGCCGCAACATTGTAGCTGAAATGTCGTTGTAGTTATAAACATAAATATTTTGTCACCACATATAATTGCCAACCTATTACAAACTTTCTCAAATATTATGATAACTCATAGATATGTGCGAACCTTTACCCTTATTCGATTAATTTTTGTAAAACTATCGAAAGGGTCGGCCATTTGGGTAAGGGTGTCTGTGTGAACTGAACCGAGTGGACGACTGAAATACTTAAGTTATGTAGTAAAGCTAAAATCAATCGAGGAAATAGGTTACACAGTACCGAAGCGGCTTAATATAAATTATTTCATAAACTTCAACAAGATGTGGAAGACACAGCTAGTAAAATTCTTAATATGTAGGTAAATACAATTTATGTGAGCTTAAAAAACTCGTAAATCTGTATTACGAATAAGTACAATGCACCTCGCGATACAAATGCCCAATGTAATATATGTCCTTATATTTTTGGAAATTCCATTGGGACTACAGTTCTTTAGTTATCCACTAATGCCAGTTTACATCATGAATGAATAATGATGTGTTCATGATATTTTTTGTTTAAGATTGAATGGGACCAAACTGAAAGTAGGTATACCCTCCCAATTGAAAAAATAATAATGCCAAATTTAATAAAACCGAACTGAGAGCATTTTTACTGAGTAAATTACCTCTTAGTGGTAGTCTGGTTCTCTAATGGTAGGCTTTTTTAGTGTTTTTGTCAAACATTAATAGAAATTGGAAGATAGAATGACTTGGTAACTACAAATTTTTGATTCAAATCCTTATTATTTAATTGTGTACCTCAGTCTGAGCCAAGTCGACAGCGGCCGTAAAGTGTTCATAGTCAGGTAGCGCGTAGTAACTTTGCAAAGCACCTATAGCTCCCCCTCGGGTGCTCTGCAGCCCTAAACAACGAGGCCATATTGCCGCTATCACTCCACCAGCGCATTCGCATAACAGCATAAACAGCACCACTAAAAAGTACTGGAAATATGAAAACAAGACTGTAAAACTATTTGCGCCTTCAAAATAAAAAAAAAGCTAAGACGTATCAAAAAATATTTTTGTTATAAAGGTACACGTCACGAGTTAAGATACGTTAATTATTTAGCTTTGCCGTAACATTTGATGACCAAGGATTTAACCAATACATCCTATCTATATATGACCTTACGATGGCCAATTGTACATGTTAGCAAATGAGTTAGTCCATCTAGATTCCTGGAAGCATAAAATTCGTAAACTGAATGAGCTGGCAACATTATGGCTTAAGGAACGACGTCAGTCGGGACTAAATGAATAAAAACTGCATACCTGAAAATGTAAAACAGGACACACGGGACATCTTTCTATCCGAGCCCGGAGGTCGTACTAATCAAAAGCGGATTGGACGCCAACGCGCTGAATTTAGAGCAATAAGGCGCAGTAGGGAGAGCCTCTATACCCAGTAGTAGGCTTCAATGTAGCCGTATTAATATTTCTAAATTATTTGGCTAATACGCATATTATATTTTGATAATTTTAATCTTTATAGATACTATTAATTCTCAACTCATACCTATAGATATATACAGAATAGATACGTTAGCATAATTACAGGTTTTGTGCTATGTTTACAATAATTAATCTCCCGTGAAGATCATAAACCGTTACCAAAGGTACAGAACATAGGTATTATCTGTTGGATGGATAGGAACGTGGTCGACCAGTCTCAGCGGATAATTTAGTAGGATATTATTAGAGTAACACCGTTATAGCGAGGATTAATCTATAGTTTTGTATATATCTCATATTTCAAGCAATATAAAGAAGATTAATATTCAGCTAGTTTAGTGCTATGCTGAGGTTGGTTTTAGGCACTACCATCTGAGATTGCAGTATTCTGCATTATTTGTTGGTCTTGGACGCCCACACTGGTGTTTACTAAATGGGCAAATTTTCATCAATTTTTGTTTAAAAAAAAACATAGAAAACAAATTTGTTCTTCGTGTCTTGTTTTATTTACTGAGGTAATATAAATAAATGCGGTAGCTATTCTATCGTTAATTGCAACCACCATAGCAATACCAAATATACTTACAATGCTCAAGACAGCGTATCCAGGCATGTAGGTAGTCCAGCATCCTAATGCCCCAGTTGCACACATGGCCAAGCCAGATACCAGTAGCGCCAGGGCTAGGTAATAAAAAGGTGGATGAGCAAGTTCACTATCCGGCGCAGCCAATAACCGTGATAGCAATATCCTTTTGGAGTCACACAGCAGTAGAAATCCACACATTACTTCCAGGCAACCACACACCTTTAATAATAGAAATAAATAACTTGTCACTTGTAAATACCTGATACAGATACACGAATAGGCACATTGGAATACAGCTTGGTACTTACAAAAAATATAGTGTTGAAACATCCAAAAAGCACTTTAGCACTAGTTCCATTTCGGCACATGTTTACAGAATAAATTTAGCTGCGTGTGATTGTTACGATTAGTATATTGGGTAAAAGTGACGCGAGGAAGTATGATTGTGTCGACTATAGTACTAATGTATGTGAATAAACAAATGGACGATGAATAGATTCGCCGGTTTTAGGGAGATACGCTCTGTTGAACAGGTGGGGTGACTGAGTATTAAGGCATTTTTGTTTAAAATTAATGCATAACTTACTCATGCGTGGTCTACCATTTACACCGCGGAATACTGGTTCGTGACGGACTCAGTTTCACTGCATCTATTCTGTTTTTATTTTGGGAAATTAAGATTTATTTAAACAGTACCATGATTTATTGCACATATAAAAATAACATTAGCCATTTATTATGTTTTAACAATAACAACTTATTCAATGTTAAAAATCAATGTCTTTCTTTTTAAATCCTCCACAGTTCACCGGAACACTAGTGATGTCATCTTGTTCTCTTTCTTTACTTTCTTGAAGCTCTGAAATAAAAAAAGAAGTTATATAATGTTCAAAGACTTTCTATATTCTTTAAATTTTATTTCAAAATTTCGCAACTTATGTAATTCGAATGACTAATAACATATTATGATATAAGTTTATGTAACTCTTTTTACCTGGAGGTAAATGTAATTTCTCGATAACAAACTTCTTTCTCTTCAACTTGAACGCCAAATCCAGACTAGGTGGAACGTTTGGTACCAAACAGTACATGGCCGATAACTTTGTTATATGGAAAAGTCCATGGTAATCCTTATACACTGGGTTTGTTTCACGGCTTGATCCAGCAAAAGACTCAATCTTCACAGCATTGTCTACTGAGTATAACAGTCTATTCATTATGTGTTCGTCCTGTTAACACAGATAGCTTTTAATTTATACCAAACTTGATTACACCAGTTTATATAAAACGATAAACCCTAATGACTATTTCTGAAATAAAGTATTTGAATTTGAATATATGTGCGACAAGGCATTTGGATCATATTTTTTTAAGCTGGTATTTTGATTTGTAATTACTGATGTGATATCACAGAAACCTTTCACATTGTGTGCGATCCTAGGCATTACTTTATTTACCAAACAAATAAAAAACAATAAGTTAGTTAAAAGTTCAAAAATAAATAAACGTTATAAACATTTTTTCATTTATTCACTTCTGTGTAACAAAAAAATAGAAAATATTTGCAATTTTAGAACTATAAATAAAAAAAGGGAATAGATTAAAATGCGTAATTTTTGCCACAATTCTTTATGAACTCCAGACTTCATCATGAATAACGAAACATCCTAAAAATACTAAAACTGAAAATTAATAGAATACTAACATCAAATAAATGTGAAGGTATGGTAATAAATGCAATAGCATTTGTGTCCCTCAAGAAAGTTCGTAGGCAAAACATAAACTTTATCAGATCTTGACCATAGGTTCTACTTGGTTCCTCCTCTTCACAATCTTTTGCCATCCACACTGGAGATCCCAAGGACTGTACACTTATCCTCAAAACATTACTATTTTGCTTATTTCTACTATTATATTGCTCTTTACAAACTGTTTCCTTTATAGTTGTTAATAATTTGTAGTACAGGTTATTTTTAAAACCTGGAATAAGATAAAATATTACAGGAGCTAATCTATTTTAACATTTATAAACGTAACTAGGCATCATACATCAGGTAATTCTAAAACTATGAAAACACTTGCTACTTTATACCTATAATTATAGTAACTGCTATAGGGTAATAAATATAGGATTATTAGAAATGAGAATGCATTGTGTTATACAGTTGTAATAAATGGAATGCCACTGTTTATGGCAATATAATCCATACTAAAATTATAAATCTGAAGTTTGTTTTTTTGTTCGGTTGAATGTGCTAATCTCAGGAACTACGGCTCCAATTTGAAAAATTCTTCCAGTGTTAGATAGCCCATTTACGGAGGAAGGCTGTCAGCTATAGCTGATAGAAGAGTTTTAAGAGTTTCCTTTGCATGCAATGCGTAAATGGTTAAAGTCTCACAAAATCATGTTTGACAGAATTGTTTCCCTACAGTTGTTTCCTTCCAGACATATGTTGTCACGGACAGCATATTTCTATCTTTTAAGTTTGGCTCACTATGGTATGTGGTATGGTGGCTTTTATGAACGTGAAATATTTTCAACTTCTTCACGAACAAAGTCACGGGTAAAAGCTAGTCTTCTTGTAACTTTCTACATAACTTACCGTTGGAAACCCCATCATCACTTTCCAATTTACAATAACTAATGTTGCAAGCTTTTACTTCATCTACATTAATATATTTGCTGAGGTCAAAATGGTGGCCAAAGCTTGTGTTGCTACCAAAAGATGACTCCACCTGCGTCAGCCCCTCATATCTCCAAGCTATCTTCATCTTGTCAACATCAGTGGCTACTGAATTGATTTCATCATTTTGTGGAACTGTTGTTGGTACTGGCAACTCCCTTGCCTAAAGATGACAACTTTCATTTATTACATAGAAGAGAAATGTTAATGACAAAATAGATTAGTAAAATTAAGTTAAGAAGCATTAATAAAAAATCAGAATAGGTAGATTGCAGAGTCCTATCTACAATTTATATTGGTTATTTATTTTCTTTTTTAATTTATTCAGTTTAGCTAGAATGGGAAAAATCCAATACTAATAATTAAAGAAAAAACTTCTTCACAAAATGTTGCACATGCAAAAAAAAATTGTCACCCATACAACCATAAATAAACACATGGTTGGGTCTGAAACTTTGACATAAAATATTATTATGCAATGTTGCTGTTTATACAATAGTGTTTCACTTACTGTCACTGGCACTACATAAGGGAGCACGGAGGGTTCCACAAAAGTTTAAATCACAGATGTCTAATTAAAAACAAAACTTACTATATCTTGAGGATTCTCATCAGCTGATGCCACTAACAAGTCATGTTTACAAGCCACACCTTCAGCTAGAAAGTACTTTATAAGAATCCTGCTGTAATTGGCCAAAACATCCTCCTCTAAAAATAATAAATATATTAAAATTTTAATTCTTTATGTTTTATCAGTTTTTCTATCATTGTTACTGCAAAACATAGCATGTAGTTGTAAATGGTATTTCAGATCATTATATCTTACTACTATTTTTATAAATTATTATACATCTTACTCGCAGCAGTAAAACAATTGTTTAGATTTTTGTAATAGAAAATAGGCACAGCCTTAAGCAGCGTCCACACTATGCCGGAGTATGCCGGGCGAGGCCGGGCGGGCTGACCCGGGCGGCCTAAGCCGGGCGGGTTCGTTCGGGCCGGCACGACGTCCACACCGAAAACGAGGCCGCCTGGGTTATATCTACCTATTAGTTTCAATTCGACACCAAGACTGGACAACTAAAGCCGCCCGGTGCCGCTCGGCACGTCCCCACTACATATTTTCGTTCGGCTCGGGCCGGCATCCTTTGATCTGTACCTACTTTCTGCGGGTTGGGATCGGCTCGGCTCGGGCCGGCTTTTTAAGCCGCCCGGGGCGTCCACACCAACCCGGCTTAGGCCGCCCGGGTCAGCCCGCTCGGCCTCGACCGGCATAGTGTGGACGCTGCTTTACTAATAAAAATAAGTTACACATCTGTTTAACAAATGTATTGTTATACAATGTATTTGTGAATAGACGTTACACACTGCCCTTACTAATAATTAGTTTATAACTTACCAACAACAAATATGCTGCCAGTTGGCAATCCTGTACCTTAAAAATATGTATGACTTTTATTATCAGAATTTTTATTAAGGTTATCTTGTAAAGGTTATGTTACAAAAATACTTAACGCATTTAAAAAAATACAAACTCGTACTATTTAGTACGTAGTACTATTTATTTTAATGACTTTTAAGAATTTGCACATTTTAAGTAATTCAGCAAAACTAAGTAATACTCACCAATTACATAGTCCAGGGACGGAATTCCTGAAGATACTATCGTCAAATTGTTTTTTACTTTGGTGCCACTTATAGCGGTACGGGTATCACTTGTTTTATGGAAACTACCCATGTTTAAAAAACTTTTTTTCATTTAAGATTCATGTGTCATCTCTAAAATTTGACAAACTTGTAAACATAAACTTTATCTAAATATTTCATTTCAAGCCACAGATTATGTTCTTCACAAAATTGTTCCCGAATTTCGGAAACAATTTTTTATTTTGCTGTTACACTTAAATCTACCTATCTTTTCCATTAAAGGATGTTTTGCAATGTTGATATTTTTCTTATACTATATTATGATACATTTAATATTTTACATTATTTCAAGTTTTACCTAACTTCTTATAAAGTTGATTAGAGAATTATGAATTCTGATTATTTGTTAAATATTTTTAAAAAATTGATATACTTAGAAGAACAAGTGACTCTTGAGTTAAGGTTGCCATAGGCGCCGGTAGTCCTGGGAGGTGGCTCTTCGACGAGCACTTCCGACAGCTTGCTCCAAAGCTGGTCGGCGCTGCGTCTGCCCTAGGGCAACAGGAGCGGGCCGGCGCTAGGAGTCTAGATGTCTAAATAACAGCTGTTCCCGGATCCCTCCTATTACAGGCGCAGGCATACCGAGTGGTTTTAGTCGGTCCGAGTCCGACACACCACCCCGCCGCAAACCCCGGTGGAGTGACGGTCCGCGGGGATTTCCACACGTAAAAAAAAAAAAAAAAAAAAAGGCGCCGGTAGTCCCTTAATACCGTCATTAGCCACTAGGTGATCTACCTGCTCGTTTGCCCCGTTCACCAATTAGTGTTTTTCTTTGAATCGTTGGTCATAACATTTTAAATTGATCGTGGAGTAAGAATCTTCTACTTTAGGGGTAAAGTTCCTAACTTCAGTTTTAGGACAATATTCGATGCTAAAAAGACTCCACGACAAATGCTTCATGACCACATAACACAATACGATACCAATAATACATAACGATACCACATGTTTCATGCTTCCCATGTGGTATCGTTAATAAAGAATACACAGCTTTAAACGATACGCGTTTATCAAAAAAGGCGCCACAGGCCACCACGCCTTGTAACATAAGATAAAATAAGACAGATTAGGCTTGATAAATAATATAAAATATAAGAATATCTTTTCAGATAGATAAAAAAAAAAATAGCTATAAAAAAGAAAAGATGTGAACATTTAAAGTCCACCGATGTTGTTGTTGTTATTTTACTTATGAGTAATATATTCAACAAATTAAAGATAGGAATTTATTCGATTCGACTCGAAATTTGACGAATTTATTAGGTATATACATTTAGAGGTAACTAGAAGAAGTGGTTGTTTGCCCTTTTAAAAATAATTATTAATTCGTTTTGCATTGAATGATTTCGCAATTAATTTTAATTCTTCGGAACGTATTTGTTAAAATAGCATCTGTGGTAAGTCTTCTTGAGTGACTGTGGTGCTTTTTAAAATATTACTGTACTCTGTGGCCCGCTAGGAGTATATTTGTTCTGTGCTGTGGCCTGTGCCCTGCCGTGTCATATACTTTGTGGCACATGGATTTTCATATCCGTTCCGTATTTATATATTTGTCTTGAATTAATAAGAACGGAAACATTGTTTATTATTCACAATGCAAGGTCCGGCAGTTTTTATGGATATATCTCTTGAAGATCAAGTAAGTTTATGTCTAGGTAACCTTAACTAGTCGTTTACATCACTTATTGTATATAATCGAGTCTAAATAATTAGTTATTTATATTTTAAATATTTGAATGTAGGCTCTGGAGCTAAGGAAATACTTCAAAAGCCTGGGCGCCGAAATTGCGGAGGAGAAATCACCAAAAGGAATCGAAGACGATTTACACAAAATTGTAGGAGTTTGTGATGTATGCTTTAAGGAACAAAATGAATCTGAAATTGAAGCTATACTCAACAGTATTGTTTCTATTATGGTGTCCGTAAGTATTCTTATTAATTTCCTGAAACACCTGAATGTAGTATGTAGTAGGAAGGCAGTATACATTTATTATTTTTACTCTACTGTGGTAGTTTGTAATAGAGTAATGTTTATCATTAAAAATAGGTGCCAGGGTACTGGAATACAGCACTTATAGTGCTGACATTTAGGTTTTAAATAATGTTAACATATCATTTTTCTGTTAACATGATCACTGGTGTAACACTATGATTATTGTTTTTTATGTTTTTAGATTCCTCTGGAAAGGGGTGAAAATCTGATAGTGGCTTTTAGCCAAAGGCTAAGCAAGGCACCTGGACCTAAACTTGGAGTGGTTGTAGTACAATCGTAAGTAGAAATGTACTCACCTATCTTGTTATTTCATCAAAAATTATATGAATTATAATTGTAATACTGCTTGATACATTTCTTGATATTTTAATAAAGCACTGCCATCTTATTCTCTTTAAACAAACCTATACTCAATCCACGAAAAGAAGTTAGTCATGCGTCAGGGGTAAAGGTATATTCAATCTCAAGTAAAAAATTAAACTATTTACATTTGTACAACAATTTATATTTTTATAGATTTAAGTTTATCTACCTGAATGTAAATGTTCTTTTGAAATAAAACAAAAGCATAGTAACATCTGTTGACCATATGTGGATATAAACAAAGGTTAACAAACCTTTATGGTTCTTTGAAAGAACTTTTATATAATTTTCAACTGTTGATAGTCTTTTTTTTTCACAGGCAATTTCAATGTGTTAGTTTTCTTTAGTTCCTTAATAATTTTATAAACAGTATCAAACACACTGCAAGCTCTTACTGATTTTATGACTGCACTCCCCATAGTATCATTTAAGTCATACAGTTAAAGTACTTAAAAACCTAGATTATTATTTATCTTTCCCTACTATGAATTATTGATACACTTATTCTTACGAACAGGTGAGAACATAATTTTTTATTAAGGAAGTGCAGTTAACTGGCCAATGTGAACTTTATAATTTTTAAAACCTGAATGGTCAGGAGGCTGGGCTTGATCAGTGGACAACATTGACAATTGACTGCACAGATGGCGTAGTGGTTTAAGCAGTTGTCACACCGCTTACCACTATGCTAATTGCTGTGGGTCAGATCCCCACATGGGACTACACTTTGTGTGATCCACAAATTGTTGTTCTGAGTCTGGGTGTTCTTTGTGTCCCTTACATGTATGTTAGTAAAGTCCCCGGCGACACAGGATATACTTATGAAGGAATTGTCTTTTTTAAAAGAAAAAGAAGTTGAATATTTTCATTTCAGTACATGATTATTAAAACAATGTAATGTAACACTATATTTATCTCAAAACAAGGTTGTTTAGGAATTTGAAATTATATTTAGTTGTTATCATTTTTATAAAAAAAATATGTACTTGTTCGAATTTCACAAAGAATGTTCTTCATCATCAGTATTACAAAAATGTATCTCAAAGTTTAAAATAAAGTTCAAAGTTTAAAAAGTTTAAGATATATGTATGTTAACATAGAAAAGAATAATACACCAATTACAATAAGATAGATAGGTATTAAAGATAGATAATAATATGTACAATGGGAAGCCTTATTGCTAAAAGAAATCTCTTACAGGCAACCTTACCAATCAACAGTAGATAAAAGAAACAAGGGGTGATCTAGGTGTATTAAAGCCACAGTACCTACTGTAATAATAAACATAGGCATACATACAGACACATACAATACACAAAATGAATATATCAAACTAGCTGGTACCCGCGATTTAACGTGCTGCCTTAGTGGTGTGGTACAATACGTGACTGCAGTCTATGATGACTTCGGTTCGATTTCCGGACCGAATTTTAATTTTAAATATAATCATTTTTATTTATATTTTTTCAGATTATGGCGTCTTTACAACAATTTGGAGCCAAACTCCCCTTTGCGCTATCATGTATATTACCATGTGATTGAGCTGGCAGCCCGTGTTGGGTATGTGCGTGAGGTGTTCACTGGTGTGGAGCAGCTCAGAAAAGAGTTTGCTGGATGCCCACCATCTAATGAACAAATGCAGAAACTGTACAGACTATTACATCAAGTATTAAAGGATCAAAATAGGTAAGCTATTTCAACAGCTAGTCTGTGTCCTATGATAAAAATCAAATAAAAATATTCAGGGACATATATAATATACTAAGAGTTCAAGAACATGGATATAACTTAGACAAATGTTATTTTGTAAATATTTCTATGTAATACACATAAACATATTTATTCGTGCACATATGTAACCCACAATCTCTATGATAAGTAACTTGAGTGACTCTAAATGCCATTTTGCTACTTTCTTGTGTCAAAATATTATGCCTTATTTTATCCAGTTCATTTCTAAAATAATTATTTAAATATGTTTAGCCTTACAATGAATAGGAAGTCAATAATGGATTATATCACCCGCCATGCATTGCTCTCGGTGCAAAGGTGCCCATGATACTGGCAGCATTGCCTCACTGAATTGCAAGGGACATTCTTTGCACCAGGTAGTAGCTGGAGACTAATATTGAAGAATATAATACTTATGTTACAGTGAATTAGCTGCAAAGGTTATGATCGAACTGCTGGGCACTTACACAGATGAGAATGCTTCTTATGCAAGAGAAGATGCCATCAAATGTATAGCAACTGCATTGGCAGATCCCAACACATTCCTACTAGATCCATTGCTTTCTCTAAAACCTGTAAGATTCCTAGAAGGTGAACTCATTCATGACTTGCTCACAATTTTTGTATCAGAGAAATTATCTAGCTATCTCAAATTCTACAACAGTCATAAAGAATTTGTTCATTCTCAAGGTGAGTTCTATTAATTTTCAGTTTTCATATTTTGTCACTGTTACACTGTTGTCACTTGCTTCTTTTTGCTTACATACTTTCTGTATCAAATTTCTGCCTGCCTAAAAGTTGCAGGTGTTTCTGATCTGCCCTTTGTTCTGAACAACATCACCCATTATTTTAATTTTTTAGTTGTTTAATATTATTGATGTCTGTGTGTACTTGCAATATATATTTATATTGTACCTTTTGTAGGGCTCAATCATGAACAGAATGTCAAGAAAATGAGGATATTATCCTTTATGCAGATGGCTGAATCAAACCCAGAGATCACTTATGATGAGATTATATCTGAACTGCAAATCGAAGAGAAGGACGTAGAAGCCTTTATCATTGAAGGTAATAATTAAAAATGTATCATAAAACTATAGCAGATGTACTAACGCAGTCAGGGGACTTTTTAGGTAGGAAATTGCTGTGTTAGGAGACAGCAGTTTTCTATTTAAAAGTCATTTTTGGTTTACGCAATTAGTAGGCTAATAGGGTCATCCAAAAATAACCAAGCAAAATTGTTGAAGTGAAAAGGTGATTTCAAAAGTTAGTATAGATGTTAATGAATGGGTGTTTGTTAGTGTTGAAGACTCGGCTGGTGCGCGCGCGCATGGACCAGGCGGAGCGCGCGGTGCGCGTGTCGCACACCATGCACCGCACGTTCGACCGCGCGCAGTGGCAGACGCTGCGCGACGTGCTGCTGGCGTGGCGCGCCAACGTGCACTCCGCGCACGACGCCATGAAGTCCGTCGCCGCCGCGCAGATCGAGTACTCCACGCAGAACCAGAAGGCCTAGATTTATTACTACACGTGTTTTTACGTAACCTGCGATCGCCTGCTGTTATCAAATATATATATTCTGCAACTTTGTTGTAGCGTTACTTTTGGACCTGCTTTGTCACATGTGTTTCGACCGTTGTAAGAGTACGCAAATTTTATGATTATCATTTCCAAAACTATCTATGTCACAAGTAAATTCAAACATGTAATTTGTTACATAATATTTAAAATCGTTCGGTCGAACGATGATTCATTTAACTGTCAAATTATTGTTTATGCCGTGAACAACATTACAATAATTATTAATGATTGTGTTTGGATGTTTTTTTACTGCATATATTTGTAAATGTTGGTTGCTGATTACGTAAAAATTTGTATAGTTGGCTATTTTGTAATAATATACGATTAAAAGTAAAAAAGTTCTTCATTATTTCATTTAGCAACACCTGAAAATATGCCTTCATATTTTAATTAGAGCCTTTTTTCGATACATTCATAAATACATATTATGTTAAATTATGTATAAATAAATATCAGTTTCTAAGTGTTTGTAAGCACATAACTTTAGACTTAACCTATATGGCTAGTTCTTTGTATGTTGTGTTTGTAATCGTCAGGATAAGGTTTCTGCGACATAATATTTATAAAATAGTATAGAATAGTAAAAAAAATAAAAAAAAACCCTACATAAAATGGTCAATACTCAAAATGACTGAGACAAAGGAAAGGAAGATGTTCAAAAATATCGACAGATTATATCTGATGTCCGTATGGATTGAGGAGCCACTTCAGATTTTAATCGGATTTTGAACGGGAACTCACCACTTATTTAGTAGGTGAGCAAATTATTTCTTAGGACAAATCCTGAAATTTGTAGTAAGATATATAAATGTCCAAAGTATGTCAATATTAAAAAATCTGAATCCAGTACTGTTGATATTCAAGAATATACAACACTTTTAATGTCAATCTATATTTAAGAGCGTGAATTGACATGAAAGTAATAGGTCAAAATTTATATTCCGCTCCAAAAACATTTAGTAGCAAGTATATTTGAATTTATAGCATCAGGAGAAAGTAGTACAACTGCGTAGATTTAGTAAATACTCGCATTTTATTAGGCTTCTATTGGATATCTGAAAAATAAATTACTTTTTGGTTGGTTGGACCATGTCAAAATGTGAAATCACAGGGACTAGTTTTAAAAATTAATTTTCAACAAATCGACAATGATCGAAATATAGGAATGTACAGAAATTCTTTAGTTATAAGTAGTTATTAATGAATTTGGACATGAGTTATACAATGAATTAATATTGGTTGGTCGGTGCTTTGACGAATTTTACATTGAGAATCATAGTCGTCGTAAGAACACATCTCATCCTTTTTTGGGTTGTGACATATATAGTTATTCCATGCAAGCGTCGTCGCTAATTGCAGGGATAAATTCTATAACACCTATTGTTATATTAACTACTACCACATATACTTAATAATAATTAAATATAAAATTAATAATTCACTATATCTGCAATAACTATTCATCAGTTTTGAGATACTGACTCTTGTGTCGTGGTTTATAAAATAAATATCATTAAGGGTAGGCACTACCTCCAAATAGATGAAATAAAATAAAATAAATTTGTGTACGAAGGAAACGAAACGACAAAATACCTGTTTTTTAGGTATTCATGGGCACCCTACAAAAAAATTTGTTAGGAAATTACAAAATAGCTAATAATTTCGTAGATACTGTACTTTTTATGACAGGATTTTATACTAATTTAGGAATTAATACTAAATGTACGTAGACATTTAGTATAAATTCATACAAAATGTTGATGATGTTTTATGTTCCAAATTTCGTCACAAGTATAAGTATATTAGGATCAAAGCATACTATTTACTGAAGCATCTTAACTGAGAACCCAGTTAAAATGTGCCATATCTCCCATAACTTTTAATATTTTTAATTACTGACTCAATACTTCAAATTGAATTTACTTACTACTAAATGATGAAGAAATTGCCCATCAATTGAAAGACTGCTTCTTTGAAAAATAACAGTCGTTTATATCGTCTGAGGAGCCACATATATAATATATGGTAACATTTTAATTTTAACATTACCGAGCTCAGATTTTGTCTACTAACTACTCTCAAATACTACTAAATTATGATAAATAAACATCCATCATGTTCCTAGCTCTAGTCTAGTCTTTCTGTTCATATAACTTTAAAAGTATTATACTATAAAATCGAGGATCGAGGCTACGTTTATTTTTATTTACTACTAAATAATAATATTAATTTCATTAAGATATGAAAAGTGGCTCCTCAATCCATACGGACATAATATCTAAAAAGTGTATTGGTTTTGGTTCTATTTTCTTTATAACTGCATCCGTGCTAAGCGGAAGCGGTAGGAATTTCTGAATAGAATAGAATGAAATCGAATCATCCGATTGGAATTATAGAGCACATAACAACAGCTAACATAGAATATGTGTCTGGTATTACTTACGAAATTATTGTTACTAACGCAATATACCCAGAGCTTAACTTAAGAAGTAAAAACGTTGATTATTCAAAAAAGGTTATATATAGTGTTTTGATGATAATTAAATAACATTAAGAGAAAAATGAACCTCACACAAGGTCGTCTGATCCCAAACTATGGTAACCAGACTGCTGATAAACATACTTTGATTTTTAATAAACCTATACCGTAAATGACCGTGATCATCACACTATATTTGTCCTGGGTGGGAATTGAACCCACGACCGCCGGCTTAGCAGTCAGGGTCACTAACCACTAGACCAACCAGCCCAATAACCCTTAGGGATGCAAAATCAACTTATGAAAGCTGATTCTACATGTTATGTACATTTAGTTCTTAATACTACTTCTTTCATTAAAATGTATTATTGAAGTGATTTTTAAAGCTTAAATATTGCCATAAAGTTATAAAATCCGTTTTAGATATATATAGAAGAGAAATACCAACATAGGATATAGATCCTATATAGAATAGAATTCCAAAGAAACCTACTTGCTTACTTTGTGATTGTGTCAGATTTCCTTTGAATGTCAAAAATCGTGATGTAGCACCCACACACAATCTTAACAAAGAAAAAGTGAAGTTAATATTAATAGTAAAAAGGTTGACTAGTTATAATTAAAGAATAATTAATGGATTATGGGCGCAGAAATCCCGGGTGTGCTTCTAACGTCTTCCGTACGTTTGTTTGCGCAGCACTGACCATGTTGCTCGGAATACATGTTTTCACATACTTCGGGGGCTCTGGTTACAATTCAATTGATGGTGACTTTTCTGACATTAAGTATGTTGTTATGCAGCTTTCTAGGAGCCTGACTGATGTAAGTTTATGATTATTATTAGTCTTATAAGAGTAGATGATATTTAACAACAATCAGGTAAAATCTTTAGTCATTCGTTTATGTTTCTAAATTTCACCGCACCTTAGACACAACTGTTTAAGGGGTTGCTTCATTGCGTTTAATGTTTGGATTCGATTCCCAAGGAAATACCCATATGTAGTTGATTGTTTATAACTGGTGGTGATAAAAATAATAAATAAAGATAAGGTTTGTTTCTTTGGTTGATATCACGCCACGATTCTGTGGATAGTAGCAGAGGATAAACGCAGGTTTAGCAGTAGGGAACAGTAGTCTAGTTACACATAGATATCCCCTTGCCGTGACCAATCTTTTATTAAAAATTCTATGAATTCATGTAAGACTATTTTCAAAAAGTATCCAACCCATAATTCTGTTCGTTTCTTATTTGAATATAGCTTTATTGGAATCTTATAAGAGAACTTTGCTTCTAAAAACTAGGTCTTGAATAAATCCTATAACTGTAACAAGAAGGATTAAACTGCTTTATTTGTGTCACTTGTCCGTCTTCTACACTTGTTCAACTACGTGATTTATTAGTGTTTCTAATACCTAAGAATATAATATTAATAGACTGTTGAAAGTATTTAAGCTATTCTCCAACAGATGTCGTTATGTGTTATCTTGCTTGTATTTTTACATTGTTTGCTATTAATTATTATCCTAGATGGCAGTAGTAGTAGTCCAGTGCATAACTATGTTCTTAGCTAGTAAATTTTTTTGTGTTACCCAGAATAATGGGCTGGCCTACTTTTATTCCACTATCAGGTGATAGTTATAATATTAACATTAAAGATTTGTTATAGCTTGTGGCTTTTCTGTCAAGACGGAAGTTTTATTCTGGTTCGTGGGGACAAACTGATTTTTTTTTAGATTTTGCATAGCCCAATTCCCCCCCTAATTCTGGGGACACGGATGCTCAATGGGCTTCCACGCACTTGAGTCTTCTGATGTCAATGGGGGGCGGTAGTCACTTACCAGGTGACCCGTCTGCTTTTATTGAATAAAAAGCGTGCGAAAGATATGCACCTAATTCAATTAATGAAAAATGTGTACTTGCAAGTACTTAGTATAATAATGATTTTAAATAGACAATAACTAATCTATTTTAAAGGTGAATCGTAAGCATGAGGTTCTTCAAGTTGAGATGGAACGTTTGTCTTCTGTGTTGCCACAAGTTACGTCAGGGCACAAAAGTAAGGAGGCATTGGAACCTTGTCGGCGTAATAATTTACACAACCAAATTGGAGAAGTACTCGATTACGATAGACAGGTAATAAGCGGTGGTTTGAGTAAAAAATTAGGATATTAAGTACTTGTGTAATAAAGATAAAAAAAGATACCGATGACTGGATTCCGGATATCTAGCTACTGTTACTACTTGCACTACTATTAACGTTATTTCAACATCTTAAGTCCCTCCTAGCACTGGACTAGAGAGTTTGGGCAAACTTATGGGGACTTCTGAAGATAAATGAAGTAGCAAAAAAAACTATAGTATGTGACTCCTACTATAGTTTTTACTGGCTACTTAAAAAAGCTCTCTCACTAAAACTGTAGCAGGAGTAGAACGACAAAAAAGAAAAGGATTTTCAAATGACATTATATATTATATAAACAAGCTCATAACCTGGCACTTAGACCAGTGTCATATATATTATACCTATCTATGGAGGCTTGTTGTTAGCAACATGAACACACACTTGTATTAACCATAAATTTGTTAGTCTGTAAGCCTTTCCCAAAAGTAATTAAATAAATTATTAAATAATTGATAGTTTGTGTGAAGCTTGCTTTTATCCTTACATACTTCACGAGCTTCCTCTACCTTCGTCTTTACTTCTATATACCTATTATTAATATGATGTACGTGTTGGCAATCTTACCGGCCCGCCCATTTACTTACCGCGGGAGAGTAGTGCCTTAACACATATTTATTTATTTAATCATATACAAATACACATTACACATATACAAATCTGTCATTCACTATACCTATTCATATGTATCGGCTCAGGCACAAAAAACCTGTGTTAAGATTTTTTTTTCAACGAGGTTACTTAGTCCCAACCTCCCCAAAAGGGGGGGTTGGCATTGAAACGGGGCGGAAACGCACTTGTATCTGAGTTGCAGGTGTCTATATACAAAAAGTAAAGATATATCTTTCTACGTACCTAAAAAGGTATTTGATTTAATATCCAGTACCGGCCATTTTTTTAATAAGTATCCATTTAATACCTACTTATTTTTTTACACAACAAATGGAGTAACGTGCTATTGTATGTAGCGACGACGACAAAGTTTTAACAATTTGAAGCGACTGCTGGGCTGAGGTCTCCGGTTCGATTCCCGGGTCAGACCAAATGTTTGTACGATCTGGGACCTGGACCAAATGTTTGGGTGTTCAGTAAGTGTTTAGTTTAGGAGATTTACAAAAAAAGTAGGTAAATAAGTATTCTATCAGGCAATCTAGTTTTCATAGTACAAGCTCTGCTTAGTTTGCAAATAGATGGCGTTCTGTGTCAGATGTCCCAAATATTATCATTATTATTGTTTAGTCATAGTAACACAAAAAATCGTTCGAGCTTTGTACCCAATGGCAATATTTCGAAATAATATAGTAGGTATGCTTACATTTCGTGTATCACATAAAGGTTGAATTGAAGATCTAAGACAAGTGAGTGAGGTACCCTTCGACCCACATAATGTAAGTACTTATAAATAACTATGATGGACAACGTACTTTGTATGTGCCTGTTATGTCTCTTTTCTCTTTGATATTTTTTATACTTAACTGATTTCTGACAATATTATAATATACATTTTCAGTCATATGTGTCTTTTAGGTACTTTCACTCATAAATAAATAAAAGTTAAATGGTGCTTTTTGAGCATAGCATCCATTTTGAAATAGTTATCTTAACGATTTCACTAACTAAGTCCTGCCAGGAAAACACCTTAGCCAATTGTAAGCACTTCGGTTTCATTTACATTTGAAAAATACTAATATGTAAAGTTCTATTAGAACAATTATATTTCTTTATATGCACAGATAACTGACTTCGCACTCGAGTCTGCGGGTGCAAGGGTGATAGATACAGCAGACACTATAGAACATGTGCAGTACGAATCTCCAGTAGGCTACGCACTGCATGTATTTACTTCGTGGGTCTGTCGAAATTGTCTCGGAGCGCGAGCCATGATTAGACCGAGTTCTCTGCCTGGCGAGTGTTGGGCATTCAAGGGTTCTAGAGGGGAAGCTACGATACTTCTTCTAGGGACTGTAAAAATCACGGGTTTCAGCATTGAACATATTCCAGCTCAGATTTCGCCAACAAGGTAATTATTTAGTTACGTATGAAGTAGCAATATTTCCGTCGCCAGGTGTGTTTTCCAGAAGCTTTTTAGTATAGTTGTTAAGTACTGTGAATGTAAATTATGGTAAATTGGCCTAAGCATTGAAAACCACCACCCCTTAACCTATTAAGTTCAGATGATAGTACCAGTATACTTCGCATAACGACAGAAATTTAAACGAATCTTTATCTGATATACAATTACCTTCTTGAATTTGGAATCCATTCGATTTTGATCTACATGAGTATCAAATTTAGACTCATTTTTAAATTTGATTCAGGAGCACAAAATTTTAAATAGGATACTGATACTTTCTTATTATTGGCAATGTTGTGTGGTGCAGTCGCCCACCCTGCCTTTTCCATATTCTAACCCCGTTAGATGCGCTCTATAGTAAAAATGTACTTTTATCAAAAAATAAGTAAGTAATTAGTTTTTAATAGAAGGTTTCCCATCAAAAAATTGCAAATTAAAAATATAAGTTAATCATAGACTCCATACTACTAATGTCTTGAAACGTATACGTTAAACGCTGTCAAATCAAATAGAAATTTCGTAATTCTACTTGGGTTATATATGAAACGAGATATTTGGAGGCGAAAGAAGTTATATAAATACACAAAATCCAACGGCTATATAAATAGGTAGGCAGTATGTACAGATAATATCATGTTAGAAAAGACGACATTCTCGTAGTCAATAGAAGATTCTTAACTCCACCGCCCTAAGATAGCCAAAGCCTTACGGATAAGCACGGCTTTGCCTATATATTTTTACTTATGACAGGAAATCCTTTTTATTTACTCAGGGAAATATCGTCGGCTCCACGCCTATGTCAAGTTGAAGGGCTTGAATATCGGACGGATGCTTACGGTCACGATTATGGCACCTTTGAATACGATAAAGATGGGAAACCCAATCAATATTTCGAGGTGGCTCATCCTACTAACAAGGCGTTTAATATGGTGAGATTAAGAGTGATGTCCAACTGGGGCCATCCGGTCCACACTTGCGTATATCGTTTTAGAGTACACGGAGAACTGGTGCACGGACAGCTGCCGAAGAATTCTGGCGATGACAATATATTAGAGGTTATAGAAAATGAATAGCCTTCGATATGTTACATACTACGTATCATTCTATAGGTGTATAAGAAATTATATTTATTAAACCGTATTGTAATAAACCTTAGTATAGAAGTAGTAGGGTTTTTTTTTTTTTCATTAATAGCCTTTAATAGTCCACTGCTGGATATATAAGCCTCTCCTTAGAAACCTGATAAAAATAAAGTATGCTATTACGTGATTTTAACACTAATTTCTTATTATATCACCACTATTAAAATGTTATAGTGAAATGTTTCAGGGTATTAAAATATTCATAATATTCATAAATAATTGTTTCAAAAGTAATATAAACATTAGCAGAAAAATGCTAAAGTATAGATATTTGTGTATATTTATCCTTGGTTAGGCTACAATTTAAAATAGTATAAAATTAAACTTTATGAAAATTTTATGGTGAATTGATCATTTACATCACTACTCTTGTTTCTTACTATAAATTTAAATAGTGCCCCTGAGGCTATGGATTAAGAAGAATTTGGAGTTATTGAAGACTTGTGAAGTTTAGTGGGTTGGAATGCTCAGTTAATAAAGTGGTTCCAAAATCAATTTGAAAAAAAACCCACCTAGGAATTTAATGCTCATTGTTGGATTTTTTTACTGTAATATAAAACAATCATGTATTTCTTTTTGGTTTAATTAATTTCTTTCAATACGATCGCTATATTCACGCAGAAATAACAACTATAGAATGTAAATACTCATGCATTACCTTTTGTTTTGTGTTCGTTCCTTTGTAACAAAATCCTCCTTTCTAAAATGAGAGTTATAAGACCGCAGTCATTACGGATTATGGATAAGATATCTTCGCCGATACTATTTATGGAAAGCATTTTGGGACTAGGCTGGACTAGAGTAGATGTATCTTGTGGTCACAGTCAGCCAATATTCATCGAGTCACGCGTGATTGACGTCTAAGTTGGTCAAAGTGTTTCATTATAGGCTATTGTAGAGTCAATATTGATCTGGAGCATGTAAAACCTAATGATAATTTCCTATCACCTTCAATGTTTTTGCTAGACAATTCTTAGGTGTATCTTGTTACAGACATGCGCACACCGCTACGCATTCGACTGAAAGAAACCGGTTTAACGTGTTTAATTACTGTTGCCTTTCTTCTTGCCATCCAGTTACGCATTCATAACCTTTTGCTTCGTAATTGTATTAATTCGTCTTTCAGTAAATTTATTGACTCTGATAGAATAACATTTTGAATAAATGATTTTGTAAGAATTCTCGTTAGTTGAGACATTTTAACGCGATTAATTGCTCAAGCTACTTATACCGTGTACAAGCACCTGCTATTGTATGTTTACGCCAAGCCACTGTCAGATTACTGACACGCTTAAATATAACATGCATCAGTTGATTGTCGACTCAAAGAACTATTTCATTAAAACTTTTTATCAAATGATAAATACATATATAATTAATTAATTGTGCTCTCTGAGAACAAGGAAAACTATCTTTTTTAGTTTTGAATGAATCGGTACGACTGAAGAATTTCGTTGCTGATTTTTGTCGGTACAGAATATTGTATCACAAAGTAACAATGCGTATGCCTAATACATCAGTGTATCTATTACATTGACGTCATTAATGCCAGGTGCTTGCTACCCAGTTATGCCCATTGTGTTGCACAAAATGAGAGAAAGGCAGAGCCGTAGATGTTAATCTGGGTGTCCGGCAGCCGAACGCTATAAAACGCGTCTATTGTGAAGTGGACAATACTACAAAGCACATAAATTAACATGAGCAAAGTGATCATGAGCCCCCGCGGCGTTCGGCCTAATGGGTTGACCGAGCCACCGAGCCGCTGAGCCTGAGTTTAGTTCCTTTTGTAAGGACGCTGGTAGCTAAACACATTGAGGATGGACAGTTTATTTAATTTATTGCTTTAGAAAGGATAGTGTACCTACCTGTGAAATATGAACTGTTTGAGCTTTGCCAATATCCGCTGAAACTGTATAAATTTAAATTTTAAGCCATTGTATGATGGTTAACGAGGCTTCACACGCAGAAAATATTTTTTTATCTCTAGGGAATATTTTTCATTAGGATAAAGGTATCCTATATCCTTATTATTGTTAACGATTAAGTAAAATTTCATGATCGGATGAATGGTGCGATAGCGCATAAAGTATAACATGTAGCAGACATTGTACAGTGGTGTGCAATTGTGGATGGTACAATACGTCGTATGAGGTCCTTTCTACGGTAAAGAACAATATCGCTTGTAATACAGAAGTAGGCGTTGACATTAACATGTTTGATTTGGAAAACCTTGAAGATATTGTATGTAAGTAAAGAATCATTAGCTTCTATTATTAAGATAGATTAGAGTTTATGCCCATCACTTATCTAAATCAGTTTTCTTGTGTTTTTCGCTACTAATCTTGTTGCGAGTATTATATTATTAAAAAACCACGCTGCTCTGCCAAGATGCGGTCCTGGTATATCAAAAAAGATTAGTTCTTCGTTTATAAGATTAATATTAGAAGACTATATAAAAATAATGAGTGTTATTTCGGAAGATTTGAAAAACAACGAGTATACCATGTGTAAGGTAAGAAGAACTATCTCTGCGTATGAAAAGTGTCGGTCAAAATGCGTTAAATTGCGGGCGCTAGGTACCAGTAGCTCCAAGATATTTTTTTAAAGAAAGCGCCAAAAGTTGTTAGAGGAGGATAGAGTGAATAAACATTGAAAGAAAAACAGTGTGTAAAATCTTCACAGGCTTAAAAAATAATTAGACACTGTGTACTAGACTGCCAAAATATTAGATAAGTTTTACAGACAATAAATAAAAGTGTAATAATTTTCAGACAGTAAAACTATTTTAACCCAGCAAACTCCACTCCGTCTATAATTGCTATGTTCATGTCATTCCCTTTGGCTACACTAGTCACCATTCTTGTCGGTTTTGGAACTATTATGTACTGTTTATAGCTCGACACTTTCAACTTTGCCCCATATGAGACGGTTCTCCTTTCCTCTACCTTACCTCCATAATTCAATGAAGTTAGCAGCAAAGTGGAATATCAAAACATTAAAAGTCAATCAGGCAAACATATGAGCAATGAAAAATGGAAAACTATTCGTACCACAAACATTTGTGGAGACTGATCTGATAAATAAGAATGTAAGTATATAATATCTGATGTTACTGTTCATTTTTTCAACTTTCTCCCCATATGAGACGGTTCTGAAGTAAAAAGCAAAGTTAAACATCAAAGCCAACCAGTCAAATGTATGAGCAAAGGGAAAATGGAAAACTATTCATACCACAAACATTTGTGGAATGGAGACCGCCTGATAAAATAAGAATGTAAGTATGTAATACGTAATGTTGTATAAGGAAATGCAAATAACAAGCACATCAAGTAGGTAATATAAAAATGACGAAGAAAAAGAGACGAAAACATGTAACGTGGTCTTGCCAGTGTCAGTTAGAAAGCACTTTACATGTTTCACCTGCGATTAAGCAATTTTTGAACCCTGTAAATATTCGCTATACCACTGAAATATTTGCTTTCCTGACCTTAAACTCTGCATTTTAAATGCCTTTTTGATTTTTGCAGCTTAAAAGCCGAAAAAAGAAAACTTCCAACTTAAATAAATAATTAATAGATCACACACCAAGAATTACATCGTTACGTCTAACTACTCAATATTAACGCAAAGACAAGCATGAAATCGACATAGATACAGCTATTACGATCGGTACAAGCATTAAGGACACAATTAGGCCAATGCTGAAGTACCGATTTCTTTCTTTAGTTGGTTCAATGTGTTTCCTTTTCTCTGAGAAATAGGACGCAGCCCTAAAGGGTGAAAGTACTTCTCCGTGAAATTTATCCTTTTCTCAAACCCCGCCTATGTGTACTACTCAATATTAATGATGTGATCTTAGTTCAAATGTCTCTCGCAGTCTCCGCTTGACATATATTAATGAACAGTATTTGTGTCCAGATTCTTACATTTGGTCACCCATTTACGCAGCCACGTAAAAAGTTAACAATTGAGTAATATCGCATTATTGTAAAGTATTAGTTTTGCGTCCTGCGGCGCTGCCCGCATTTTTGGACCTACTTACCAGTATTCAATTATATAGGTTTTTTTTCTCATAAATGTGCTTTGAAATTCTTTCGGTAAGTAAATATTGTAATATGCTTCAATGATTCCCTGGATGCCCCTGTCATTGCGTAGTAATCTTAGGGCCGGTTTTTCAATCCTCAGATAAACAGTTAGATAGCATTTATTCTACAGTTAGCGTAACGTGTTTTTGACTTTTGTGTATTTGTTAACATTCTCTAATATTTGTTGTAATAAAGTTCATATACCTACGTTGCCCTTATTGAGTATTTAAATTATCCTGTGTCCTGGGAGAAAAGAAAGGGTTTTTAGAGAAAGATATGACAATACTTTGTATGATGATAAACAATTTTATTACAAGTTATTGATTCTATTTTATACGAAAGTAACACGAATAATAATAATATCTTATACCACAATCACATAACGCCATCTAGTCCCAAACTAAGAGCTCATAGCTTGTATTATGGGTACTAGACAACTGACAACTAGACACCAGACAAAATTTAAAAATTAAAGGTAAATGTACACAAATGTATGAACGGAGCGGGAATTGAACCCGCTACCTTTCGATTAGCTATCCGTTACACAAACCACTACACTATTGTTCACCGTCACTATTACCTTCCATAAGGTTGTCTTATTATCTGACTGACAAGCAATGACAAGAAAAGAATGATACAAATGTTGTCTAATAGCTTATGATCCTTATATGGAAAAATGTTCAAGAATGCTCTAAAGAAATGCTCTAAAGAAAATAAAGAATGTATTCTATAATTTGCAAGAGTATTTTCTGACAAAATAATTTGCATGCCTTTTACACTTATTGTAATCTTCCATTTTTATTTATAGTGTACTTTAAAATTGCAATGCCCGATTGGGTAACTGTT